GCTGTATACAAAGAAGAAATATGCAGGGCTTATTTTTGATATGAATGGATCTACTATTGAAACTAAGGGTCTTGAGATTGTTAGAAGAGATTACTGCAAGGCCTCTACAGAGTTATCTGTCAAGATTCTTGATATTATTTTAGAAGATAATGAATTAGTAGATAGAACAGGAGTTGTCAAAGAAACACGACATGGTGAGAATCTGACAGTTCATAATAATTTATCCACTGGAAACAGCTTTAATGTGGAAAACCCAGTTGCTGAAAGAATTTATGATCTTTGCTTGAAATACTACTCCGAGTTATCAAAAAGACCTGTGGAAGACTTTATAATGTCTAGTGTATTAGGTAAGGATCTATCTGCTTATACCAACTTAATCAATTTGCCCCATATCAACTTAGCTAAGAGACTTCAAAGCTCTGGAATTAGTTTTAAACAAAATGATGTCATTAGTTATGTGATTGGTGTTGGCCATGGGCCGATCAGTAATAGGGGATTTCATCCAGAAGAAAATTTTGATGTTGATTTGCCATATTATATTAAGAACCAAATACTCCCTCCTCTCTTTAGAATACTGGCACTTCTAAGAAAAGTTCATCTTGATAAGATTGCGCTTATTTTCAATGCAAAATCCATTTCCAATACTCGAGTACTTCATAGAAAGATGATATTTACGACAGAATGTTGTCAAAATGCTCAGGAACCTCTTGATATCTGTCAAAAATGCCAAGCCCAGATCCCCAAATCATTCTATTTCAAAAGTGCATATTTATTGCTCAGATCTGGTTGTGATTTATACCAGTACAGATCTGAATGTATTGATTGTGGAATAGTTTACAAAAATCATTTTACACAATGTTACTTTTGCAAAAAAGACCTAAAGATCAGCATTAAAAACAAAGATTTTGATGATCTAATTTCAAATTTACAAGATACATTTTCTGAATTTCCTGAAATCACTTCCATGTGTAAAAAGTATTCTGCAATGTCATCCTATAGGATAATAGATCTATCCAAGTATTTTTCTAAAGAAATTCAACACTACTTGCAGCTACAATAATAAATTAATTGATGAGATTTTTTATAACTAGGTATATAATATGCCACAAACATTTTTATATTGGAAGTTCTGATGATATATTCATTAGTTTACATATCATATCAATGAATAAACATACTTTGGAGTAGTCTGAAATTTAAAATACTATTGCTAAATTTGGTACATAAATAAAAATTTATACACCCACAACGGGACTCGAACCCGAGACCCCCAGATTAAAAGTCTGGTGCTCTACCGACTGAGCTATGCGGGCATACGGAAGAGTATATCTCTGTAAATATCAGTTCAAAATAAAGACTTTAAAAATATTTATAAACCCACGTTGATTCATTGCAAATTATTTATTAATCCTTCGTAGTAAATTACTTATTTAACAATGAAATCAGTCTCAAAAGTACATCCTAGCTTATCGTTCACTTTCAAAGTTCAATTCAACTCTACATATAGGACAGAGACTATCTTTGGATTCACCTATCCATCTAAAAATGCAACTTCTATGATACTTAGTTTTACAATTCTTACATTCATCTCTAGGAAATGTTTTACATTTTTGATCAATAATAGAGTAGCAGATCAGACATTCCTTATATTTGCTTAGTTTATCATCCAAATGCTTCTTCCACATATAAAAGATTTCCATTATTTTTGTTGTCTTCTGGAGGGTATACATTATTAAATTGTGTAAAATCTGGTTGATGAGAATACTTCTATTTGTATCAGTATTGATCATTTTAATCTGGATTCTAAAATCTTTGGGAATCTGAATCTCTAAAAAATTGTCTGTCGAATCTATTGTATATACAAACTTGATTATAGAACACTCAGCTGACCGTATCTGATATATTTTTGTATTGGGTATTTTTGTAGATGCAACTTTGCTAAGATAATTTGAATCTAATACATCAAAAATTGGAATAGAATGGGGAATTCTGATATTTCTCAAAATATTACCAATTTTTGATGTTTGGCCATTTCCATTGAAATTACTACTCTGCATTAATAGAATGGTTTTATAGATGTTGGGTAATACCCTACCAAACATTTTTAATTCATATTCTGTGGCATTTTCCAGAAAAACTCCCAAAGCTGAAACCATCGATGATTTCATGATTTCGTCATTTTCTAATTCTTTTGAAATTTCCTTTTCGATATAAATTACTGTCTCGATATCCTTTATAATTTCCAATGCTCGAACTAATATCGTAAAATAGCAGTTTGGATAGTTAAGAAGGCTTGAAAAAAAAGAATTTGATTCTTCACCAGCAGCTATCCTTTCATAACAACTGTCTTCTTCAGCCCCAATAGAATTGTCCTCAATATAAGTCGTGGTACTGATTATAGAATTCTTTGTCAATTCCACTGCCTCATTCAAAAAATTTTCATAAACAGCCAATCTCCGTGGCCTAACCAAACTAGGGATTACAAAATCATCGACATCTTTACAGATTGTGAAAAGTATAAGGTTCTTATCCAAGTTCATGATTTGCAACATATTTTTTATCGATACATTGGAAATGTTGTAAATATAACTGTCTGTTATAAATGTAGGATCGAATGGTGATATACCTATACCAAGAGAATCACAAGTAGATTCATTATCCTGTATAGTACTCGGAAACTTCTGTTCATTAGAAATTGAACTATCTAAAGTAAGATGATTCAAATAATTAATAGTGGAAGTATCTTCACTTATCTGACTGTATTTCTTTAAATACTCAATAATAAACTGATTTTGGCCCAGATCTATTGTATATTGAATGCTCTTATCTATGTCTGTAGAAAATACTAAAAATGATAAAACATTTTTCAATTGGGGCAGCATTGAATTTGAAGTAGTGGTGCACACAGCTAAACACTCAAATATTGAATAGACACGGAAATCTATTTCTGGAAGAGAGATGTTTTGACTTTCTATGGAATTATCTTGCTGGCCTGAGTTTATACAATTTGTAAAATAAATATTTCTTTTTATTTTTAACAAACTAAGAAAGTCCAGAACACCTTTGTAAAATTTCTCCGATTGTTTTGCATGCAAAAAGCTTAAGAAAGACCTATTGTAAATTCGAAAATCAGAACTAAATACAAGACTGTAGTCTATCATGGAACTGTTTGCCTCATCTCTCAAAAAATAAGAGAATAATGTATTTATAGAGCTCTTATCTGATCTAATTGTTGATGATTCATCAAATATTACTTTAATCTCATTTCTTCCCATACTGTTGAAAATACTTACTACAAGCTTTATTGGAAGAACATCTATAATTTTGGGTAATACATACAGCTGTGGATCTATCTTTTCAAATAATTCCGGATATTCTCTAATAATTACGGATAAATCATAGTGTCCTTTGTTAATGTTCCCTAATATTTGATAATTCTGTGAATAGAAATATCTTGCAGGTAGAACTTTCACAGCATAGATTAATATAGGGAACACATCTTCTAGAAATTTGAATTTTGATCCATCAAACAATTCATTGGAAAACTTATCACTGAACTCTTGGCGGGATAAATATGTTTGCTTTATGTATTCATGCAATATTCCATTCTTTAAATCGCAGAAAGGCTCTAGAGAACAAAAAAATGTAGAATCGAAAGATGGAGGAAGATTCTCATTATCCAAGCATTGATATTCAGACAAATCTTTGATGATTTTCAAAAGAGATTGATTCAAAGAGTCGGAAAAAATTGGCATTATGGACAACGATTTCAGCACTTCAGTAAAAGAATTGTGGATTTGTGATCGACCTCCAGTTTTGTCCAGATTATTTATAGTCTGAAATTTGTATAATACATCATATAGATCCATTTCTTCATTGAAGCATTTTAAAACGTAATCTTGTCTTTTAGAAACTGATAAATAAGATAGAACTATCTCCAAACACTCGACTGATTTAACATATATCTTGAAATGGTCAACTGATGGAAGTTTGACAAGCAAAGATACGAACTGAGTAGGATCTAAAGAGTGTTTCTTAAAAGGATTTTTAACTGCCAATTCTCCCTTTGAATGGTTAAAATCAGTTAGAAATATGTGATACCATGAAAGATACTCATATGTATTGTCATCCACATAAGAATAATATTGTAATAGCATAGATACAATAAGGTTAAAATTTTTACTGTTTTTACCAGTTTCTCTAGCTTTCTCAAGTAACAATTTGTGATAAATTTCATTGTGGATCTTTGAATAAATTATCTTGATTTTATCAATCAAATGAAGAATTCTTGAAATTATAAATACGTTTGAAATAGAATTGACTGGAAAATATACATCTTCAACAAAGCTTCTAGGAATGGTGTTGGATATAGACCAATCAGAAATACAATCATCTATATCTTTGTTGGAATGCTCTAGAATATACAGAAAAATGTTCAGACGTAAATTACTTGGCAGCATAGTAGTGTTGTATGATCTATCATTAGAATCTGTATGTTGAGTACTGTCGTTTTCACCAAAACGTCTCTTATAAACCTTTATTATCCCTTTTAGTAGTATCTTGCTGTAAATATCATTACTAACTATAAATTCTACAGTTGGAAAACCAATAGAGTTGAGAATCGGAACAATTGTTTTTGGGGATGACAGAAGCATTAATCGCAGAATAGACTTGGTCATCGAACCTACACTATCAGAAGATAATGGCCCACTAACCAATGGTACCAAAACAGACAGTAGAAAAGTAATAGATTCTGGCTCTGGAAATATTCTATGTAGTTCTGAGGAGTTGGAATTTTCCAAACGATCTAGTTTCTTTTGTAAGCGTTTTAATGCTTTGGTACGAGTTTCTATGGACGGTTTTTGTAATTTCTCAACAATATCGACCAAATCTGGCGATGATGAGTAAAAACTTGAATTTTGGAAAATATTCATAAAATTAGGGGGTTAAGAAACTCAAAAAATAAGTCTCAAATAGTAATACATTGATATGATCAATATTTATTCAAAACGATGTGGACCATAGGCTTTTGGATCATGAAATCTGAAACGCATCTTGATATTTCTCATCAGCTCTTTGTCTTCATTTTGTAAAAAAATAAGATTTATATTTGACTGAATATGCTCTGGAGAACTACTCCTTGGAATGACTGCAATACCTTCCAAGACTTCAAAGCTAAGAATAATCTGACTAGCAGAAACAGAATATTTTTCTGCCAATTGCAAAACTAAGGAGTCATCCCGTACTGGAGGTGGGGCAGTTTCACTTCCATCCGATATACTTTGATCATCCAGAGCCTCAAATGTGCTGTGTATTTTATTGAGTTGCCTATTTATCATCTGCTCTTTAATTTTATGTGTGAATCTGACACCATTTGCTGCTACATTAGATCCAAGAGTTGAGTAACTGATATTTAATATATTATTTTTCTTGCAAAATGAGTGTATTTCTTCTTGCGGAAAATAAGGATGTAATTCGATTTGGTTTACTACAGGTTTAATCCTACAAAATGATAGTAAATGTGTCAAATTTTTAATTCCAAAATTTGCCACTCCAATAGACTTCACTTTCCCTGAATCAACAAATGACTCCATCTTTCTCCAAAGTGGCTCCAAATCAAAACTACCATTAAAATTCACAGGCCAATGAATTAAGTACAAATCAAGGAAGTCGAGTTTCAATTTACTCAACGACTCTTCTAATGCAGTTTCTGGATTATCATGGGAATCATTCCATAGTTTGGATGTTATAAACAAATCAGATCTTTTTATTTGTATACTAACATTAATATCTCCATTTTCAAAACCTGGAAGAGCTTTGGATGATTGTAATAAACTGTTTAGATATTCCCCAATAAGATGCTCATTATGGTAGAAGGCTGCAGTATCAATATGCCTATATCCCGCAGAAATGGCTGCATTTAACGCGGTTGTGATTGTTTGGCGATCAGAAAGTTCCCAAGTGCCAAGACCAACCATTGGCATAACCTTTCCATTATTCAATTTTACTATCATAGCAAAATAGATATTTAAAAATATTTATAATTAAAGTGTTAATTTTAATTGGTCAGGAAATAAGAATAGTTATTGAGTCATTCAAGAACAATCCAAATGCTGCATTTTAAGCAATGGCTGAGTCTACATTTCTTACAATAGTTTTGTAGAATTAATTAAAATACATTCTTTATCAATATACATTTATTCGTTTTTCAATACAATTTCTACATCAGATCTGCAACAAGGGCAGAAATGCTGTCGGCTCACCAACCATTTGTCTATACAATCCTGATGAAAATGATGTTTACATTCTAAGAATCGTATTATACTATCATCTTCAAAATCTTCAAAACAAATTATACAACTGTTCTCAATATTCTCATCGTCATTGTCCTTAAAATCACCATATGTTTTCAATTTGCTTCTAAGTATATTGAAGTCGTTCAGATTTGGATCTGCTCTAGAATATTTCGTAATGATTGATTTAGCCAATATTATGGAGATATAATACAACAAACTACCAGTTACTACAGAAATTGGCCAAAACAATGGATATCTTGTTGATATCTCTAGCGAAATGTTGTTGAAGGTATTCTCAGTATAGTCATCAGATTTTTTATTATAGCTGAAGAAAAAATCCAACAAATCTCTATCGAAGATCAGAGTCAAGATCAAGGGATTATTGAGAAATCTCCAATATTTTCTTATAATTTCATTGTATTTCAATTCTTCAGAAGTTAAGAAGATGAATATTTGGAATTTGTTTGATACTAAAGGATTTAATGTATTTTCTTGATCCTTGCATATATCCTGGTCATTATTTTCCCCATTCTTTATCCATGCTTTTTTTGACTTTTCTATATTTTTCATACTATTCCCTTTAAAATCTTTTATTACTTCTATTCCTTCATAATTAGTATTTTTGTGATCAATAAATTGAAAAATGTAATCTTTTTCAAGAAACTTGTTGGTATATAGTGAATTGGATACAAGGATCGTTTGGTTCTGGAAATTTTTAAGGGTAACAGTAACATTTGACTTAAAATAGTAACCTACAGAATATATAAAATCCAAAACAATATTCATGCCCAAAAAACAAATAAAAAAGTAAAATAAATAAACAGTAGGAGTGTAATCTATAGAATATTAAAAAACAAATAAAGCCCATCATTGGGAATTATACAACTAAACTTTACGGGTAAGACTTCAAACTAATCAGTTGATATGGGGAAATTACTATTAACAGTGGTTTCAATATTATATACTTTCAATGAACATCATTAAACTTTAAAGCTTAGTTCAGCCCTTAAAATGCCAGAGTTCTCTGAAAAATTTAAAAAACTATATTTCGAAAAATATTCTTCAAATTTGACAAAAATCCTTCTTAAATGCGAACGAAAGGAATTGGAAAAAGGGTGGAACTTGGCCAATGCATGTGTAAACAATATTTCTAGCAAATCTTCTCTTTATCCTATGATTTTAGGCAATGCTATGTTTAGAGTCTCAGTTACAAATATTGGAAACTTTCCACCGTATAAAGTAACCAAGTCTCATATTTATCCATTGAATTTTTCCAGCAAAAAACGGTTCAAGCCTCATAATAATTACACTAAAGGCAATAAAGACAAGATTCTATATATTATTTCAATAGACAAGAATGGTCCGAAAATAGTGTCGGAAGACAAATATGAATGGAAGGGTGAATATTTATGGGAAGAGTTTGTGAAAGATGTGGGAGGAACCGATGAAATTAAGACTTTTGAGGACTTTTCAGGGTTAGATCATCCCACATCAAAAAAGTTGATTGAAGATTTAGGTGATATTGGTCAATTTCCAGAGTATCAATCACATATGAAAAAATAAATTAGTTAAAGATATTTGTAAACAACTATACCTCCACTACAGATAGCTAAGTTCTTTATTCAAATCTACCTGGTCCAAAACTCACAGGGTCCACAAACCTGAACTGAGTATCAATTGATTTGATTCTTTCCATATCCTCATCTTTCATAGTAACTAGGTCAATGTTGGACTTAATATGTTCCGGTGAGCTACTTCTTGGAATAACTGAGCATCCTTCCTGGACAACATAACTGAGTAGTATCTGAGCAGAGGAAACATTATATTTCTTAGCCAACTCTACTATTAATGGGTCATTTCTTACAGGCTTTTGTTTTACTTTCTCCACAATGGATTCGGTTGATGATCCAAGTGTTGAGTAGCTTATAACTAAAATGTCATGCTTTGAACAGAATGATCTAATCTCCCTTTGAGGTAAATACGGATGGAATTCTATTTGGTTTACAACCGGCTTAATTGTACAGAATGAAAGTAGATGAGTCAGGTTTTTGATCCCGAAATTGGCAACACCAATCGATTTAACCTTTCTTTCAATTACTAATGATTCCATGGCTGTCCAAACATCTTTTAGATTAAACTCCCCAATTGAGCTTACAGGCCAATGAATTAAATACAAATCAAGGTAGTCCAATTTAAGTTTTTTCAAAGAAGTTTCACAGGCATTTCGAACATCTTCATGGTCTGAATTCCACAATTTAGAAGTTATGAACAGTTCTTCTCTCTTGACTACATTGTTTTCGAATAGATCTTCTAAAATTTCACCGATAGTATCTTCATTGTTATAAATGGCGGCTGTATCAATATGCCTGTAGTTTGAATCAATAGCTGTGTTTATGGCTTTAGTCAAAACCTTTTTATCGGTTAATTGCCAGGTTCCCAGACCAATGACAGGCATTTCCAGTGAATTGTTTAATTTGCAATTCATGGGTAGAATTAAGAAACAAACTTTATTAAAATTGTAATATCCCTCCTTTGAAAATAGTTAAGGTTGAGATGAATCATTTATTTAACCATCTGAATAGAACCCATAATGTCAATTTAAACAGTTGACTTTATGAGTTTCTGCTTTTGTAATTAAACTGTTACATCCAATTTAGAAATAAACTGGTTTAAATAACATTAATGCTCTGAAAAAGCAAGTTTGTCAGTATTACAGGGATTTTTGTGGCACTTGTCATGGCTGGACGAGAATGAATCATATTAAAGTAGTATTGGAGAGAAAAGATGCTAACAATGCTATGATAGACTAGATTCTGTTAATTACCATTCTAGATGTGTTATTTAAATCTTCTTTTCCTATCAAAATTAATAATGAATTTCATCGGATTATCAAATAGTATTATTTCTGTTGTATTAGATACTTTCTGGATATTATCATCCTTAATCTTTTCAAAAATTGTATATGTTCCTTTCTTAATTTTTCCTTGAAGATAGAATGTCGGGAATCTTAGTTGAAGAGTATTTTGATCAAAAACACCATCAAATAACTCGATATTTTCAAATTCTCCTTGAAATTCAAAAAGTCGAAATTTTTGTAAATTTTCCACAACTTTCAGCATTTAAAGGGCAAGATATTCTATCAAGATCACAAATTAATTTAGACCCTAAAGATTGATAAAAACAAAATAGGAGATAATTTCAGAATATTGTGGAATCCATAATTTATTTAATTTGGATCGATGGTTGATTCTTATGCAGAAGAAATATTTAACACTTTGAGGATGCGCTTTAATAGACCTTATTCATGGTCTACCCATGCATGATACACATCAATTGGTTGATCTAGGGAATTAACTTGACAGTGGAAACTGGCTTCACACACAGTGCATGCAGCTACACCTACATTATTTACTTTTGATATTTTACACAATACAACTTTCTCGTGATGGCATTTTGGACAATTAAATCTAGTTTCCATTTTCAATGGAGCCATTTTTCTAACCATCTTTCCTCTCTTTGACTTTTTCCTTCCCATTACAAGGGGACAAAAAATGAAAAAAATCTAAATATTTTTCAAAAACAGTCCAATTTATGATGATCTTAATTGTTTGGAATAATATAATACATGATAACCTTTCTGAACAAGAACAATCATGACATCTATATGAATTACTAAAGTTATTCTCCGGAAATATTATGAAAATGGGTTTTGTCTGAGCCTTAATTTGAAATTATATTCAACTTTTCTATTTAGTAGAATATTTCTATTCATCATTGTTACTAAATTGATTGCCCTTCAACAAATTACCCTCACTGCTGTAAATACAAGCTTATTAAGGTAAAGTCCATTCTTAAATTCATATCTGAGCAAGCATAGCGGTACAAAAGTCAAAAATGTGGTATTCCTATTATCTTTCAGTCATTATATTGAAGCATGACAAGTTTATTTGCTTTCTTTTGAATAGTTCATCTTAGGTATTTCTTTGTTTTCCCATTAACTGCAGAATCTTCTCTAATTTTCTGAAATATTGTGATCTTGTAAATTTGTCGCCCTCAATCAGCATCCCCAATTCATCAACTTCCTCTTTAGACAATTTAAATACTTCAGGAAATGCTTTTATGTAAAGTTCATCCATATTACTCCTACTAATTTTATGTGTCAGGAATGATACTACCAGAGCATGATAAGAATCAGTATCCATGGTGGGTTGATTATATAGCAGAGATAGTAAAGCTATAAAATAACTGTTATAACTATTTCCGCTGTGAATGCAAGAATTTGCCAGGAATACCAAGGCATTTGATCTATCGACTTTCGAACTGGTATTTTTTGATTCGATTGATGGAGAAGAAGTTAATGTTTTTTCTTGTACTGTTGAATAATCGGATTTTCCTACAGTATTTATTTGTTTAGAATTATTCAATATTCCGTTGGTTAGCACAATCAGAAGTAGTAGGAGATTTTTATAAATTGCTTGGCTGTTCAATTTGTAGATTTGATCAAAATCCAGCTTATGAATATATATCCCCAATAAATCCAGCAAATTTTCACATAATTGTGCATCTGTTTCATAGTTTTGATGTGTTACTTCATTTAAATATTTTAGTATAATTTCTCTGCTTTTTATACACTTCATATTTTCACTTCCAATTTGACTAAAGTATATGTCGAAAATCACACTATTCAATTTACTTTTACAGGCATATTTGGAAAAATATACTATTTGGTCAAAGTTGAGATTTTTCAAATAAATTTTCAAATAAACTGCATGTCCTGGATATACCAAATAAATTTGATCAAAAATTAATTTTAAATATTCTAAATTATAGTTGTTATTGCAGTTAGAATGGCCGGAATTTTGTTCGTTAGTTTTTATATTTGTAGAATATTTCCATTTACCACCACTTTGATCATTACAAGCAAATACTATCATGTCTGTCCAATCAATATGTGACTTTATATTTTTTAATTTATCAAATAGTTTTGATGGAAAAGACAGTTTAGATAGATCATTATAAAACATGACTCGATTAAAACAGGGGAAGTATTGAGTAAAAGAATCAATAAAAGAGTATTTGGAAATAATAAACCTATCCTTCAAGGTCTCATAATTTCTATTTTCAAGAGAAATTTTCTGGACATAAAAACTATTATGTTTATCGATAATATCCACATCATTTGCGTTATTGAATTCACTTGTACTATCTACACTGTTAGCGTTGTTGTGCTTATCTGCACTTCCAACATTATCCAATATTGTACATTCCAACTTTTCAATTTGGACATATTCGTACTCATGATTTCCTAATTTCCTGGAAAACATAAATAAATCCTCCAAAATACCTGCCATATGAACAACCACTAATATTTCCTCATAAACGGTAGAAGTTCTAAATTCTTCAACTTTAGAAAGACATTCTCTAAAAAGGCCAAGAGAAGATAGCTTGATTTGCCTGTTTTCATCAGTTATCGATTTGATCATGACTACCAGAGTTTTCATTATTCTTTCTGATTCTTCTAAATTTAGGAATAAATAGTTAGCTGGAGTGTATAATATTTTAATAAAATATGATATTAAAGAAAGTATCAGCGTGCTGTTAAATATTTCTGGACAGTTTTCACAAATGGCTGAAATTATTATAGAGCATCCAACAATATCCTTCTCTACAATATCATTTTTAACATATTTGACCAATTTTGATATGATACCCTTCAGATTTTTATGAACCAAAGAGTTGTTGTCTAACAAACGAATTAAAGTACCAAAATACTTATCATTAGCCAGATAATCATTGCTGATGGGATAGGATGTTATTCCATGGTTGGTATTATTGTCAAATATTTCATTGATAGATTCCTTAAATATTTTAAATATTTTACTGTAACTGAATAGCTTCCTATAGTGCTTTATAGAATCATTTCTATAGTAGCTTATGCATTCAATCAATGGCCTTATCGATTGAGGTTCTATAGACCTCAAAAATTGATCTATAAAAACATTAAAGTCAGTATCAATGATGTGGACATATTCAGAGTAGGTACGAATATATTTGCTCAGAGAAATCAATGATTCTTCGTTGAGAGGAATAGAAAATGGAACTGAGTGAGATATTTTATGGTCTAATTTATGATTTCCTACTTCATTCTTCTCTAACGATAGTCTATTTAGGTTATTATAGAATTCCTTCAACAAATATTCGATAATATAGATATCCTTAGTTTTCAATATTTTTAAAATCTCTTCAGAATATTTCTGTTCATTTATAAATGGCTCGCTTGTTTTAACTTCTTCCATTATAAACTTATAATAGAAAACTTATTACTTTTAAATTAACCAATAAAAAATCAATGATGAAACCAACCTTTATTGTAGAGTTCATTTATCTTTATAAGGATTATATAAGCAACCATACATATAATTGGAGGATTTAAATTGAAAATTTCTGCTGTTAAGGTATTAAATCGTACTATTAACAACTATAGTATTTATTATTTTTGTTTTCCTCTTTATTTTCTGTTATTTTTTATCCCAATGGTAAATGAACATTTGAAAGATTCTAAAAATACAACAATGAAGAATTCTGGCATTAATATCGATGAAAATACAACACAAGGAAGCACTAATATTCAAGAAGTTGAGAATTGCCAAGCCATGGATGGTTCTAAGGAGGTGAGAGAAAATAGATTTTATAAATCAGCACTTTCATCGGTTGTACAATTTTTAAATTCAAGTTTACCAGAGATATCTAATTCTACGGAGGAAGAAGAAGAATCGAATACTAAAAAAAACAATAGAGACAAGAAATCTCCAAAAAGAGGAAGATGTTACAAATCTACCCGAGAAAGTAAGCAAGTCAAGAAGGCAATGAAGAAGGAAATTGTAAGAGCAAGTTCTTTAAATATAAAGGAAAAGCACATTAAGAAGGATATAGAAGCAGAAGAGGATTTATCGAAGGATAAACGAAGAAACAAGTACAGTGAGAAAGCATATAAAGATAAAATATCAAAAAATGCCAATAGAAACAAGAAGCTAGGAAATAGTAAATAAATTCGTTCAAATAACTGACTCCTAAGACATCAAATACTATTGTGGATCTTATGATTATTACCATATCATATCATAGCACAGATATAATATTTTAATTTCAAAGAATAACGTTTTGTTGATTGATTTTTTACTACAATATTCCAGCTATTCTATATACTTTTTTGATGAATCTTTAAAGTATTTTATTTCCAAGTTTTGTTATTATGCCCATGATTTGTTAGTCATAACTGTTCTCTATCCAATATTTTGTTTTAGCTTGTTGTTTTGTTTTTGTTGCTTTTGCAAAATATTTGACCTCAATTATGATTAGGAGACAGAATACTAGATTCTCCATTATGGCTGTTGGTCCAAAAGGCTGTGGAAAGTCGTCTTTTTTCAACAATATAGTAGGGAAAAGCATAGTCAGAACCTCGAATTCAATTGACATCAGTATTTACATGCTTAACCTTGATTGTGAAGGAATTATGCAGAAAATTACTTTTGTTGATACTCCAGGATTCGATACCGAAAATGATAGAAAAATACAGAATAGTATAATAGAATATATTACAGACCAGTTTGACTCACTTTTGAAAGAAGAGTCAAAAATAAGAAGAGATCCAAAACATGCAGATACTCGTGTACATTGTTTACTCTACTTCATTCCCTCTACTGGAAATGGCCTCACCCACAGGGACCTATGTTTTCTATCGAGAGTGAATAATCTCGTCAATGTCATACCTGTTATAAGCAAGGCTGATGGATTAACTACTACAGAAACTGAAAGTCTGAAAAATATTGTTAGAGATCAGTTGAGATTTTACAATATTAAAACATTTAATTTAGAAAATGAAGAGTTTCTTTCTCAATCTATTCTAGACCTAAAACTGAACTCAGTAGTTCCATTTACCATCATTAATCCTGAGGAGTATTCCATCGATCGGGTGCGTATGCATGCGTGTGGCCCAATAGAGGTGGATAATCCTTCAAATAATGACTCCAGCATAATTCGTGAAATTATTCTAAGCAGCCATCTAGATACACTTATTGAGGTGACTAGCAGTGAGATTTATGAAAATTATCGTATGGAGGTTCTAGAATCTATGGCAGATCAATAAAACACAAATATTGGTACCTATTGTTATAATATATCTACTTAATACAATTTGCCGTTCATAAACAATATCATCGAATGGTTTTTACACTTTACTTTGTCAATTCTCCTATCCGATGTATTTAATAGTATTTTCCAAGCAGTTAAAGGAAAATACATATCCTAGATTCTTTAAACAATCCACAAATACACAAGCCTCTAATATTATTAATGTACAAATAAATACTTCTATATTAAGAATATCATTGAATTTCGAGTGGATTAAACTTTAAAATTAAGAAATACTTGGATAGATGATATCACGACACAACTTACAATTTTTTATTTAATATTCCTTTTGGGAATGTGAATTTATAAAAATTTTTTAATTAGAGCCATATGGCCTCTGTTGTATCAATGATGAAAAATCTAATTGGAAAACTGGGAGATTTACTAAAATACATAGTGGTAGAATTATTGATAAATATAGTGAAATATCTAGTGATAGGACTGGTACTATTAGTGAAATATCCACTGATACTATTAGTGAAATATCTAATGGTAAAACTGCCAGAATTATGGGTATATATAGTAACAAAACTGCCAGAATTATGGGCATATATAGTAGAAAATCAACGATCATTAAAAGATCTAGTGGTAAGAAAATCAACATTTATTTGGGCTATAGTGGTGACTATAATAATGTCAACTATTGTAATTTGCACGTATTTATATCCGGAATTCAACAGATTCTGGGTCATTTTGTACAAGGGAGCAAAAAAAATTATTTATAAAATACACAACCAGCTTGTTTAAGAGTTTGTTCAAGAGAGCAAAACAAATTATTGTGTGAATACACCATTTGAAAATCCATAATCAATAGGATTAACTTGATCCAATCAGAATATTGTTTTATACGATAGTTTTTATTTAATAAAAAAATTTAAGCATTGATGGCTTCAAGGAAAGAATCCTTTTAGTGGCAAATATCTATTTTTAACTACATTAAACTAAAGCTGATGTTTGATAAGTATATTGCTCATATCTATATATTCATAAATAATATCTCTTACAAACATTTCACATCATCATTCAATGCCTTTAACATTATACACCTTAATCTTATAGATTTAGAGAAATCTTTTAACACATCTTTTTTAATTCGATTATTTCAACCCTCAATATGGGCGTACCATCACTGTATCGCTGGTTAACACAAAAATATCCAAGCATTAAAACCAATATGCGTCTGTCTTCTGATTATTTCATAGACAATCTATATTTGGATTTTAATGCAATAGTTCATCCTTGTACAGACAAAACATTGGGTGATTTACGCGAAGTGGACTTAAGACTGTACAAATCTCTAGAAAATTATGTGAATGCATTAGTAACGTATACAAAACCCAGGAAGATGATTTATATTTCAATAGATGGTGTTGCTCCACGAGCCAAGCTAAATCAACAAAGAGGAAGGCGATTTGAAGGAGCAAAAACTGTTGTGGATAACAAAGAAATACACATACATGATGATCTAGGCTGTGATGTCATAACCTCTAAAGATCTAATTGATGAGAGAATGACTATATCAGACCAGAAGCCACCAAACTACAAATATATTTTTGACCAAACATCAATTACACCAGGAACACCATTTATG